AAATGTATGTGTGTGTATTTAAAATGTGAATGTGATTGTATTGTCTATTTTCGACTTCGATTTAACTTTTGGAATTTGTTTTGTTTTATTATCTGTTTGTTGTATTAAGCAGTAAAGTTCGCCGTGTGATATACCGTTTTTACAACCTTTTATGGTTTTGAGTTCGGAATGAGTTTAAGACCAGCCTGTTGCAAAGCGGAAGGGACCATTCTTTTCAGCACTTGTACCACAAGCCGGGGCCGTATTTAAGATGTTAGCCGACAAGAACTGTGCTTAGCGGACTGCTGTGTTTTAAGAGTGGGAAATTTTCTTGGATTAAACTGTTAACTTAATTCAAATTAGCGTGCTCTTTATAAAACTTATTAAAAAATTAAATATTTGAGGTAGCTCGATTTCTAGTTGAATTTCTCATTAGATAGGTTGATCTCCTATATAAAAAAACACATTAGAAAGCTTAAACTTAAGGGCTTAACATAATGACACTAAAACATTTTCTTACGAAAGCAATACAAAATCTTATGTAGATAATTGATTTTTATTGAAAGTTTTCCCAGTTTGCTATTGGTTGATTTGTGGGGGGTGTGTTGGTTATTTCTATTCGGTATTGTATTTGTAATTAGTAATTACTGTTATTCAATTGTTTTTCAAAACTCAGTGTGCTATTTTTATTGAGGTACCAAATACATTTTATTACAATTTATTTCTTACCGAATACTAAAGAAAGAAAGAACAATGGGGAAAGATCATGGGGTTCCAAAAATTCTTGACATGCACCATGCCGGAATAGTGAGACCGTTGATATATGATGCGTATCAGAAGAATTTTGATCTAACAATAAAAACTTTACATGAAGAGTTACTACTTATTGAGGGTTACAAAGAGAAACACAAGCGAGGTAGGCCTACAGTTTTTAAAAAATATCAAAGTTAAATACCGGATTATGTCGTAAAAACGGTATATCATTCGGCGAACTCTACATGTATTTGTATTTGCGATTGGATGGAAACACAAAAATAAATACATTTTCTGCTGTTATGGTACCAATTTACCTGTTCGCCACCGTTCTCACTTATGAGAATTTTTTTTAATAACAAACTTAATGACTCTTTGTTTTGAAGATTTTCCCAGACCAGCGGACAATGCAAATGTCAAAGCATTAAAATCTGCGCAATTCGCATAAATTCATCAAACTTCTATACGTTTTACTTAAATGAAAAGATTTTGCTTTGCTATTGGATATATGGCGAGGCGACCTATCATCAAACAAATTAATTTCAATACCTTGCGAATTCTCTCCGGTACAGTCGCTTCGCAGCAAACGAATAAATACTGTACTTAACGTTCGTAATCAAGGGCCTTTGTATCGCGCCATTAAAGGGATCAAACCTCTTTGTAGTGTCCCCGATATGTCGCACTGTACACGAACCGGCGACCCATTCACAGTATACACGGTAAATTCTCGACACGTTCTCCTCTAAATCTTATTTAGGTCTCGGAGAGCCACATGTGTAATAAACAAAATGAACATTGAGTCGGCAAATACGAAATACTCCTCCATTTTGCAAACACATACGCAATCTCTCCATATTAATTCGTCATTTAAATCGCGCCGCGATAATTCAACAGTTTCAAAAATATTTGTTGGTTTCTTGGTACTTAGTAAGGAAGGCAACTCAGAAAATGGTCGATTTTCAAAAAAAAGCTATGCTACAAATTAGTGTCAAAGAAAGTTCCCTCATGTAAAAAGCTATGCACAAAATTAAACCTTTTGATTTTTCTTTATTCTCTCTTTTCTTAATACAGACATAGATACAAGGCTGCCCAAGATTGAACGGATAATGTTAGGTACCACTCTTGAACAAATCTATCAAATAAATAAAATTACTAAAAAAAGCAAACAATATGAAATGATTATAAATAAGAAGGAAAGAAAATTTATCCAAAGAAAGATAACTGTTGACAATTCATCAAGTAGTAATTGCTGATACATAGAGAATGAGTAGGAAGGAGAGAGATAAGGAGGGAAAGAAATATTTAAATGCTTAGAAATGAGCAAGTTGGAAGTAATGATCAATTAGAATAACATATTTATTTATTACAGTTATATGGCGAAGAGTTGAAGATGATTCAAGCTTGAAAAAAGATTATGAAGAAATTATATATTATATATTATTATAAAGAAGATATGGATTCAAATATACTATAAACGAATTTGAACAGAAAGAGAGTCCGACATATCTAGTCCCTAATTGAGAAGGATAGAAAATCTAGGGGAAGAAAGGGAGCCTGGAGAGAAAAGAAGGAGACGAGATAGGTTATAATAAAAAAGTTTAGAGATTGGGTGCGAAGAAGTGTAGATCGCCGTAGAAGTCCATGTGTATAGAGGATGTCCCATCTGTTAATGTACAAGCTTCATATCAGAAAGAGCACTGCATGATGTTTTGTAATAGGCGATATTTATTTTCATTTCTCATGATGTACCCAAAGTATTCAAGTTTACGTTTTTTAATAGTGAGTAAGAGTTCTGTCTGGCATCTCATTCTGTTCAGGACTTCATTATTTGTTGTGTGATCACTCCACTTCAGCATTCTACTGTAGATATAACTAGGCATCAATTCGTTTCTCCATAGCACTCGATATTGTTCATCTCCCCACTCCATACAGAAGCATCTGATAGATGTAGTAGTTTACTTTTCGTTTTTTCAGCTCCAAACGAAGTAAGTATTTCGTTGTAGTAAAAGTGCTTCTAGCTTTTTCTATGCAACATTTGATCTCCACAGAATGATCCCATGCTTCAGACAGAGAGAACTCACTGGTTGTTCTTGTAGCTTCTGCAGGCTGTTAACTATCAAAACAGCGTCGTCTGCGTAACGGATGTTGCATATATTTTCTTCCATTTATGTTTATTCCACTAGGAATAATATCCAAAGGTCTCCTAAACATGTCCTCAGAGTCGAGGTTGAATAGCAAAGGCTACGGTACACGTCCTTGTCTTACTCCCCGACGAATTTCTATAGGTTCGGAGTATTTTTCCTCTATAAGCACGACTGCCTCTGCCCCCAGTACAGGTTGCTGATAATTCGCACGTCCGTGGTATCAATTCTTATTGGCTCCAGAGATGTTACCGTGTTGACACCTATCGAACGTCCACAAAACATGTATATACGTGGCAGTTAACGTCGCTGCATTGTTGAAAGAGGACTTGTACAGCAAAGAGTGCCTCACGTGTTCCGAGGCCGTTACGAAACCCATATTGAGTATCACTCATGTTCGACTCGCATTTTTTGTAGATTCCGTTGTGAATAATTTTGCAAAATGTATCAATGAGTTGATTAGGAAGTACGACAAATAAGTGTTTTGTTTACTAATTCAAATTTGGAATGATCATGCTATTGTTTGACAGTGTAAAATTTTTTTTGCCCTTCTTCCTTTATATGAGTTCCCCGTTATAAGTTTTTATAAATATACCATCAAAAAATATTCTCCTTCACAGTTAGAATTCATTCTATCTAAATTAAATACACCAAGATAATAGCATTCTAATTAATACATACCGCAAGTTATAAAACAGACCGTCAGATCGTATTTCCTTACAAAGAAAATTCTGGTTTCCATCTCAATTAATAACTGCACTCGATCATAATCAAATAGTGTTCTATTTTCAACAGTTCTCATGTGTTTTTAATTATATCATTTTCCCTTTATAGTTGAAATGCGATTATTGGTAAAAGTTTTTATTCTATTTTCGAGAGTTTATGAATTTCCTTTTCGTCTCGCTTAAATCCTGTTCTTTGTTTTACATGACGAAGTTACAGGGAATCACTTTCCTGTATAAGACGGACTTTAAGAAAGAAAATTAGGAGTCTGGAACTTTTTTCAGACAAAATAAAGGGAAAAGTTTTGCTCCGGTCTCGTACGTTTTATAAAAGTTGCTTACTTATCTTTTAATTCCGCAGTGCAATTCTTTAGGGAAAACAAACAGATGATGCTGAATAGAACAAAAAGTATTTAAAAGCATTCCGAGATTAAGCAATTAAGATAAAGCATGACCCGTGGCTCGAATGTTTTCATTCAACTGCCAAGCCTCATACCCGTGATTTTGTAAAGCGAAATCGAATTTTCAGACAAAGTCGAGACTGTACGTTGGAGTGGGTAAACAGATTGAGAATGCCATTTCATATTTTGAACGCTATTACTGATATTGTATGAATTGATTTTCTAAAGTTAATTGTAATACAGACTGCGACTTGATAGTCACTTTAGCCATTAGTTACTACCACACTTTTTCTACAACCATAAGTTTAGCAAAACATGACGAATGTATTCACTTAGTGACGTGTAACCATCATAACTGACAAACGTCAAAATCCCATCAACGTTTAAAATCTACCAAAAGCATCCGGTCTTTCCCAAAACAGGTGACCACAAAGTACTGGAAACGCAAGAACAGGCTTAAAATGACACTTTGAGCATGTCTCATCAGAGCATAATTTTAAAGCAGGGAGTGGAATTTTTTTTTTCAAAAATTGGTAGTTATTTCAAGAACAGGGATAGTAAATTACTTCAAATTATTGGTCTGGACTTAAATCCGATGAAAAGCTAAGTTAAAGTTAGCAATTGGTTAATGATAACATTTGGTAAAATTCTTCTTCATCTTGCTCTCCTAATAAAATTAATATTAGCGAATCGTCCTAATCCATATTTTTTAATAAACCCCGCGAAATTTAAAATGAAAAAAGTGCCGCAGTCCGCAGTCTGCGCGGCTACAGCACCATGGAAATCGCACCTTAAAGATTTCGTTTTCCAGCTTCGCGCGGTTCCTTGATTTTAAAATGTTTACAGTTTACGTAAATATCAATATTTTGCGCTAAATTTTTTTATATTGTTTTTCAATAACAGACTCTCTTGATTTTAGTTAAAATAAAAGTCATATGAAAAATGTCGAACCGATCCGTTGGACTGGTCAGTTGCATTGAAAAAAATTAAATACGAACATCAGTATGCAAATACTGAAGATATTTCACGATTCAAGGAAAACAAAACGTGATCCACGAACCTATGGCTTAAAGAAAAAATCTTACTTCGCAATTGCATCTCAAGCTGAGGCTAATGAAGCAATTCGTGAAAGCTTGAATTGGGGATGGAAATTGCCTTGGGTATTTATCACTAAAACTTTCTGGGATTAGCACGGAAAAACTAAAAGTGATATATTTGATGGTCTTCAAATAAAACTACTAATTAAAGAGCGTCAATTCATCAGTCAACGAGAGTGAATCTAAAGTTTGATGTTTACTTGTTGAAACAGTATAAAATTTCGTTGGATATTGTAAACCAAAGATTTATTCAGAATTAGTGGAAACTATGCTTTACTGACTTACTGCTAGAGTGAGTAAGTAAGTACTAATGCATATAAATCTAGTTTTTGTAATAAATATTTAAATCTTCGTCTTTTTGTGTTTTCCAACTAACAGTTATAAAGTATATGTGTTAAAAATATAAAATGATAAATATCTCAAAACTTAGATCTAATAGATAAAATCTGAGGGCTGTTTTGTATTCTGCAATGATTAAATTATGGAAGCAGACAATAGTTTTGTGTTAGTTTGCGTTTAGTTTGTTAAGTTTTTCATTAGTCCGATGTGGCCAGCAGTTTTATTTCGCCATGGCTAACTTTTCAATGGTTTGAGGTGACTTGCAATGGCTAATGTTTCTTGAGAATCTTTTCTCGTTCCTTAAATAAAATTAAGATAACTGCCTGACTCAAATAAAAAATTCTCGATCAAAATTGCTTTGACAAAAAGCAAATTCAGGCTTTTACAATATAACGCCTTGTTTTCAAAACTAAAAGCGATTCGCTAATTAATAATCACGCCAGTTTATTAACTGCCAACAAAAGGTTTTAATTGGGTTTAAGCGACGTCAGCTGTTTGCAATTAAATACTCGAAAAGTCCGAAAATAAACAAGCATTTAACATTAACGGAGACGAACTAATTAGGGGACATATTCACATTTATTCGAAAAGAAAAAAGTTTATTATTAGAATGTCAGAGCGGTTTTGCAATTTTTTTTCCATTTTAATTAGTTAACTATTATATATGGGTAAATTAACTGTTATTTATATATGGGTAAAACTCGTTTTGTCGCAAAATTTTCGAAGACGTTTAGAATTATATTTCAATAGGTAAATAAGTGTACATACACCACTAATCATCTGTTAGACGTAGGTTTACGTAGGATTGATTTCTAGATTTTTTAATGACATTTTTAGGTGTCAAACCATGCGAAGAACATGCTGTCATCTAAAGAAATGATATTCGATTAGGAAATAATCGAATATCTGAGTGGCAAAATCAGAACATAGTTTTCCTAGTACAACTTTTGCAAAATTAATAACTAGGTTTGCATTTAGAGTTCTACTTAGTGTAAACCAGAAGAATTTTCTTTGAACAGCACAATTTTCGAATACAATTTTTACGACGTTAGGTATATATGGCAGCGCTTGTTCAAAATTGTCACATCTTATTTAGAACTACGTGACTCTCATAGCTGCCAAACGGTATCACTTATTAAATTGAAAATGTCAGCCTTTTATTACGGCAATATCAGTTCGCCAGTTCTGAAGTTCCGGCATGGTTACCTGCGAGGTAATAAATCCGGGGTCCGGGGAGACCGATTGAAAGCTCAGACTATAGAGACGAGATGCCTGCTGCATACTGGAAAGACCAGCTAAACCTTTGCATACAGATCGAGATTTAAGCCGTTGGAGTCCGCTAACGTTGCTAATACGCCCTAAATTTACGAGTTGCAGTTAATTTCGAGGTTGCTATTTTAACGCGTTTCAAATATACGGTATGTCGGAAAAGTATACGTAGGAGCGTATTATTCTTTTACCACAAAGGTGTGGAAATCAGAAGCTTTCAGCAATCAGGAACTACGGTCTAAGTGGCGTTTTTATTGTAACTGAAATGATAACATATATATATATATATATATATATATATATATATATATATATATATATATATATATATATATATATATATATATATATATATATATATATATATATATATATATATATATATATATATATATATATATATATATACATATAACGATGAACACCCGGATTACCACCAATACACATAGTTCCATCCGTGAAGGACTAAAACAAAACATGTGCACCTCTACGGGGAGAGGACTTTCAACGATTTTCGACGCTACGAAAAACTCGCGTCCAAAAAGCGACATATTTGTGCGATTTAATTTTTCTTATCAAGTGTCGCGACAGCAATGTACTACCAAAATTTACGAAACTATCCCACCACACTAATACGAGGAGAACGAAAACCATTCTCACCCGAGCCAGCCAAGCCATACTGAGGGAGACTATTCATAACACCAGAAAGAATATCGCGAGCTTAGAAAGCAATTTACTCAAGCTACACTTACAGCTAAGCAATACAATAATACCAGTCCTATGGGATATAGCAAATAACTTGGCTTTCTGGCGTTCCGAAACGGACAAACAACTGAAGAGCCAAAAACTAGAACATAAGTATCAAGCTCTTCTTAGGAAAGATAATGACCAAATGATGACAAGAGGGCTAAACGTGGAAAAAACCGTTCACAACATATCGAGGTACAACATGTCCCAGTCTGAAATAGCCGTTCTGCACAAGGGGTTCAACTTCGCAGTAGCACCCAAAACGATTCCAAAAGAAGAAATTATATCCGAGATAGAAACAGTCATCGACCACCTGGAATCGAGCACTGCTGAAGAAGTGAGACAAGATGTGGCCTGCATTCTTAGAAAAGCAAAAACACCAGCTTCAAATATCACCAAGGAGGAAGAACGAGCGCTAATCTGCCTTAGAAAGAACAAGGAAATAATGATTCTACCAGCAGACAAATGGAACGCCACCGTAGTCATGAATACAGAGGACTACAAAAGGAAAGTGCAACAGATACTGGAAGACGACTGCTACAAAAAGGTATCAAGGGACCCAACAACTTATCTGAAAAAAACCACCAAAGCAAAGATCAAGGAAGTTATCCAGGATGAGCAGCTGCAAAAGAAACTTATACCTCGAGAAAAGTCAAGCAGATGTCCCAAACATTACGGTTTACCAAAAATCCACAAGAACGACGTACCACTGAGACCAATCGTAAGCGCATTCAATTCCCCAACACAGAAGCTGGAGAAGTATCTAGCTAACATACCAACCTATCGTGGAAGCTAAGGCATCTTATGTAAAGAACTCCGAACACTTTTTACAACTGATAAAGGAAATCAACATCGATCAACAAGATGTCTTGGCTAGCTTCGATGTGAAATCTCTGTACCCGAGTATACCTATTGACGAGGCTTTGGACCTGATTGCAATGAACGAAGATATCCCATCACACGTCATACAGCTAGCGGAGCACTGCCTAAAGACCACGTATTTTAGATACGATGGTCAGCTCTATAGACAGACAGATGGCGCCCCAATGGGGTCATCACTTTCGCCAGCGATAGGAAACCTGTTCATGACCTATTTCGAAGCTCAAGCGATCCGAGAAAGTCAACTGAAGCCGAAGCTCTGGATCCGATACGTCGACAACATTTTTATCATATGGTCCCATGGGGAGGTTAAGCTAGATCATTTTCTAACTTACTTGAATTCTTTACACGATAGAATCGAGTTCACCATAGAAAAGGAGAAGGACAAACAACTACCATTTCTGGACGTCCTTTTAACACGATCAGACGGGAGAAAACTGCAACATCAATTATATCGCAAACCTACTCACACCGACAAGTACCTGAATGCACAGTCGCACCATCACCCTAGTCAAATCCAGGCCGTTGCCAATACTCTGATCTGCAGATCGGTGAGACTCACAGACGAAATCCATAACAAGCAAGAAATGGAAAAAATCACACGAACACTCCGAGACAATAACTATACGGAGTCTACTATAAGAAATGCCAAAAGAACGAACACAAGGACACGGCGAGACTCAACTAAAGAACAGGAAAGGGAAGACATACAAACCACACAAAACAGTGGGTCAACTAATAGGAAATCCAAAGGACCCTTCTCACCTAGAAAATCAAGGAGTCTATCTAATCCCGTGTAGAGACTGTCCAAAATATTACATAGGACAAACTAACAGAAAAATGTCAGCCAAAATCGAAGAACACAAACTGGCTGTAAGCAACAAACAAATGACATCAGCAATCTACCGGTACCACCTGCAGACGGGTCACAGAATGAATTTTGGAGAAAGCAAGGAGATCGCAAACATTACAAAATTCAAACAGAGAACAATAAGGGAAGCGATTGAAATTCAAAAACATGATAACATAAACAACAGAGATGATGCCTCAACCCTCCCTGCAGTTTGGAAAGTGGTACTTAACCGCACTAATAGCGTGATTGCACAGCCTATTGTTTCCACCAATAGCGAGGAAGCGTCAACCACCGCGGCGCAATCAAGTCGAACCGAGGTAGCACCGCTAGTCGCGGCAACCGTGTCCCCCACCCCGCCGCGATACAATTTACGGCGGGGGGGACCGCGATTATAAAAAGCGCCGCACCGCACATTTTCACCTCAGTTTAAGTGCGGACACGTACGAGTGACATGGACGCGCGGCCTATGAAGATGCCAAGTGATATTTTGGCGAAACGTCAGGCGAATGATCCTACTCCAGGGTCTGCCAGGTAGGATCTTGTCGAAACGTATCCAGGATTCCAGTCGGAGTTCAAGAGACGGACGGATGATATCTCGGAATATATTGTCATCACATTTTTCCATCCATGAATCAATACGTGGAATTAAAAAGATTCATTCTTGTTCATACAGACCAGACGTAGCATTTTATAAATCTAATCCTTAGGCTGGAATCGAGATCGGTATTGGTGAGCACTTTTTTGAATTTCATAAACGCACTGCGAGCATTTTCATTTCGACATCTGATCTGATGATGACAGCCACGTTTCTAAATATTTAAATTTACCTACTCGTTCTATTGATTCATTGTCATAGGTTAGGGTTGCGTTTTTAAATTCTTACGAGTAATTATCATGAATTTAGTTTTCCTGGTGTTAAGATTAAGACCCATGTTCTTACTGCAGTCACCGACAATCCCGAGCATACTTTGTAAATCTTCAATTCTATCTGCAATTCCATTCACACCATTCAACTTAACGCCCATGTTGCGTTCTTTTAGGGGTTCCTGAAATATGTTTTCAGAATTCAAATTGAAAAGGAGCGGGGTAAGAACACATCCTTGCCTGACGCCTCTATGGATAGGTTTTGCTTCCGTGAAATCGTTACAAATTTTGACTTAAGCCTTTTGATTCCAGTATAAGTTTTGAATGAAACGGATGTCTTTTTGGTCTATATCGAGTCTATTCAAAAATTTGAATGAGTTTATGATGTTGGACTCTGTCGAACGCTTTTTCGTAATCGATGAAGCACAGCATTATGTCCTTTCTCTGATCATTGCCGTTCTGAACTAGCACTTGAGTCGCAATAAAAGCTTCTCTCGTGCCTAGCCCAAGTCTGAATCTGAATTGTGTGGATCCGATATCCCTTTACTGATATTCTATACTGGATAATATTAAGTGTGTGACTCATGAAGCTCTTTGGCAAAGGGATAAAATCTGATGTTAGCGATTTATCAGGGAACTCGCCTGTATTATAGATGAGGGACATATCGCGCTAGAAATATGGTGGAAAAATTATGATTATTTTTTTTTTTTGCTAAAAACTGAAATAGGTAGAAATATAACTTATTACGGGCGTACGTGATGTACTCTCTGTATATTAGACGACCTGTGTTATTATTCTGAACTAAATGTAAAGAAAATTTATGCAATTGCATAAAAAACATATTTTTTGTATTTTATGTTTTATTTTGAAACTTTATTGTTCTGTAATTTTTCTATAATTAATTACCTCTTCCACATAAAATAATGAAATCGAAAATACGGCATAACGCCAAAATAAAAATAAAAAAATCTAGTAGGCTACTATCACAGAGAGCAAGGCAAGGATTTTCAACACTTAAAACATTGTATTTGCTTATTTGTTCTGTTTTTTTTTTTAAGTTGCATCGTTTAAATAATTTTTTTTTATAGAAATTGTTTGTTCATAGTTCACGCATAAATAAGTCAATTTGTTTCAGAAATGTTTATTAATAAATTATGTTTAAAATGTAATTGTTTAGAAGATAATTAATAAATGTTGGTACAAAATAAAATGGTTTTGATAACACCCTGGCAAAATATTTTTTTCGACCTGCAATTGTTCTACATTTTATTTTGTTATTTGAAAACTGTAAGTTTTATAAAAAAAATAAGAAAATAAAAAAGTGATGATGCCTAGAAAACAACTTAAAAAAGTACCCCACTTTCTTACAAGCATCATAATTTAGAGGGAAATTAAAGGATTGAAGGAGATTTCTTTCTGACCACAGGTTCTTATGAGACATAACTAGTGTTTTTAAGATATTGGGTGTTCAAGGTTACCTGTTACTTGCATATGTATAAAGTAATCATAACAAATTATTTCTCTCTTATCTCCAACTTGTGGGAGATTCCCGGAGGGAAGAATATGACGAGATGGCCGATCATAAACGAACCCAATAGAATAAATTAAATACAAACTTCCCAGTTGTGCCAAATACTATATCATCCACACCGATGCCGCTGGCAAATAAAGCTTAAACTATTTTGCATGCCATTAAATTCAGTTTGGAATATAAAATAAATTTCTAGTTGGAATTTCAATTCCTGACCAAAAATTGTGTGGTAGCGCTCCGAATTTAGCTAATGCCCTAGGTCCAACGTGTTAAATTCTAAAAGAGTTAAGAAAGTTTTGCGGGCAAAAAGTTCAACGAACCAGTGTCTGGATGTTTTTGGAAAGCGGGATGGATAATAACGGACGAACCAATTGTTTTGTTGTGATTGTGTGTTGTAGTCACTTTAATTTGAAGACGAAAAGTTTAACGAAATATATATTGTGAAAGTTGTTTTGCCTTAATTGAGAATTTCGAGGAAAATTTCATATTTCGAGTTAAGATAAATTGAAATAACACAACTAAATTTTAAAAAATTCGTCGAAATTTGTATATATTGCAATTCTCATTTAAGACTTTTGCTTGTAAATATATATCAACATTCAATTAAACAATAAACAAACAAACAATAAATTGAACCATATCAAGATTAAAAAAAAACATTTTATACGGTCCCAGAAACTTATTCACAATCTATTTTACATCCACAAGGTTTCTTATGCAGACGACAACTTATATTTAAATGTAACCGATTCTTAGTTTAACGTGTCTATAATTTGTAAAATTGTATATGTACATACAATACAACTTTACTTCAACAATGATATTTAATTAAATTTCTGTAGCATATTTATGTTGCTGTACAAAACAAAACTAATGTTTACTTTATATTTTATTATATATCAAATAGTTTCTTTTTCAATTTCTGTTCCTGGTGTTCTTTATACCAATATTTTCGTCATTTTACATTACTAATAAATTTTTTCTACTCCCGTCTATAAAATACCTAATTACACAGTTTCATTTCCCACAGGTCCGATCCACTTCGGACATTTCCGAGATTTTACCGCACGGGTTTGGGAACAATCGGATGTTTTCGGAGATATTTCCCACGCTTTGAATTTTGACGTTTGTCAATTCTGACGACTATGTCAGTGAATGTATGCGTGCTCTTTTGCGAAAATGTACCCAAAAACTAACGGTCGTAAAAAAAGTATATTATGCAACACGTTCGCTGAACTTTCTATATCACTCTTTTATTAAACACTCGCTCCGCTCGTATCAAATAAAACCCGTGAGTCAAATGCCGTTTACCGCACTTCTTGCATAATATACTATTACATTGCGAGTCTCAAAATTGAAAATGTTTACTGTTTTATCAATTAAGAATTTCCGAATTAAAATACTATTAAAAATACGATTTGTTATCGATCGAACCGTAACTTTATAGTGAGTAGAGCATGACGTTATAGCTCATATAGCTCAGTGCTGTGACTGCAACCTCAGACCAAAATGGGGGCACGATGCTTAGCGCATGCCGCATGGATCGGTCTGGGTATTGCATACAGATCGCGATTTCGGCTTGGGGAATCCACTTGCAGTGTTAATTTGCCTTAAATTTATGCGTTACGGTTACAGGTAATCTAGTGTTTTGACCTGAGCGAAGTCGTCGCCTGATGTGTTTACCATTAAGCGATAATTAATTTATCTTGCTGGAATAACTCGCAAGTTCCTGTAGTCAGGAATTGATTGCGATGCCTGCTGGGTTACGCTCGTAAGCAGGGGTAATGTGGCCCGTTTGCCCCATTTCGGTTAATGGGATTTGAAACCGAAATGGCGTTTATTTTTTTCCATAAGTTGGACCATGAATGTTTAGCAGTGAATGCGGTTTCGATTCGGTTTATATAGAAACGTTCAGCATTAATAAATGCGGGATACGTTATACAATGTTGACGACATCAAGTTCGCTCAGTTTCTTACTGCAAGAAAGTAATAAAACGTAAATTTGCAATGACAGGGATCATTAAACGGAGTTGACAATTTAAGAGTTATATCGTAAAGTTCAGAAAAATTGCAACAATAAATATTAGATAAATAAATAATAGTTTCGGATAAAAATAGTTTTTAAGAACAACACACCCCAAATCCCTTCCCCACTGTAATTTCCATAGAATCGAAAGACGGGCAGTTTGATAAAAAAAGTAATACGACAGCGACATAACTACAGGTAGTTTAATAGAATAATAAATATACATGATTATATTTATTCAGATATGGGTAGATAGAAGTAAATAAAATGTTATCTAGAAGTCAGAATAATATGAAAAAGATAAATTGGTGACGCGTTTATCGTCGTGCACAAGTCCATAGTGTCCAACTATAGTCATATTTGAATAAATTTAAATAAAAAACTCCCAATGTTGAGTTTTTGGTGGAAAAGAGCTGTGAGTAAAAGTACAAAGCGCAGTTTTACAAATGCATTTTAATAACTCCACCAATCATAACCAACTATAATTCTAATTTTCAATACTAAGGCGTAGGTAGGTCAACTACC